GAGAGAGAGAGAGAGAGAGAGAGAGAGAGAGAGAGAGAGAGAGAGAGAGAGAGAGAGAGAGAGAGAGGAGAGAGAGAGAGAGGAGAGAGAGAGAGAGAGAGAGAGAGAGAGAGAGAGACAGACAGAGAGAGAGAGAGAGAGAGAGGGAGAGAGACTGAGGCACTGATCGGGTAAAAGTCAAGGCAGAAGGAGACTGGCGAGAGGCGGAAGGATGAGCGGACGTTCACCCAAAATTGTCCTTGTCTTTGCAGTTTGCTTTTTTTAATCATACCCCCCAGAAACGCCGCAAAGAATATCTTTGATCCCATGCTTGTTGAAAAATTTCTTAGATATCTTGCATCCGATAGATATCGCGCATGAATATTATTAATAGCTAGTGAAAGTTTATTGTGTTGAAATGTTTCATTAATTAGGTCTTAGATGTTGTCTGATCAGAGAGCGTAATATCAGGAGTTAATAATGACAAATTGTCATGATTAACTCCTGGTAATATCAATATGCCAACCGTGTCCCGAAGCAATGAACAATGGGGCGCTACAATGAACAATAAACAAGTGCTTTATGATTAATATTATAAAGGCGTATAAAATCCGTTGATAATCTCAACGTTGTCGTATAAATTTAAACTGGGCAATATGTTTTCGATTTACGGCTTTATAATGGTAGGGGTGTGTGTGTGTGCGTGCGTGTGTGCGTGCGTGCGTGCGTGCTCAGAGCTTTTTGCGTGAAAGAAGCGGGTTCAAGTCCCTGTTACAGGCGCAAGTGTTTGCGTTGCTCAGCGTCAGCGATGATGACGATCCATTTCCACTCGTCTGCGCTTTGCCGCCGAAGCGGCGTCGCTGTCTAATGGTACTCTCTCACTAGACACGCGCACGCACGCACGCACGCACGCACGCGTGTGCAGAAGGGGGTTGTGTGTTGGGGGAGGGGGTGCGCCACGTAGATGACCCAGAAGCAGAAATGAGTTCGGGTAGAATGGGGGGGGGGGGGGTGAAATACCAGAAGGAATGAAAGTGTATGAAGAAGAAGAACTGGCGAAAAGGACTGGGAAGAAGGGGGAGTGCATTGAAAACAAAACTGGCTATGTAAAGATATCTAAAACGATCCTAAATGTTAACACTAGAATTGAAATGGAATATAAATTATGAGAAAAAAACAATTAAAACAATCAAAAACTGCAAATTGAAACTTAAAATCTGTGGAAACATCTTCTTATACATATATATTGGATATTATATTGGATTATATAATATTGGGTAATAATACACGCGGGGGATGAACGCATAAACCTGCAGCAGCGTAATTCGTACATGCAGATGATTGAATACGATCCTCTTCCCCATACACAGGCGGAGGGGTAGGGAAGAGGGAAGGGGTCGGTGTAAGAAAGAGAGAGAGAGAGAGACCGCGCGCGCGAGAGAGAGAGAGCGGGT